AATAATAATAATAATAATAATAGCGTAATATCAACGATAAAACACACCTGGATCGGATAATGACACTTCGCGAAGGATACTTGCCATTTGAAATTATCATGATATTGTATTGAACTGTCATTACTGCGAAACGATTTGAACGAATGATGGTCATCAATAAGCACTCAACTCGAACTCATTACACGATTCATGTTCTATCGTTCAAACACATTTATAAAATACATATATATATATATACTTCGAAATATACTTTTTACACCTGTAGAAGATTTTATATCTTTTAATATTACTTTTCCAAATATGAAAAAATGATTTTAATTAAAAACATCAAAATTTATAAACGAGTTTTTCAATCTAGGTCTTACAAACTAGTATAACTTTAATTGTTTTTTTTTCTTTCTTCAAAAAGTAGTCCAACAAATATGATATTTACTTTTTTTGATATTTTTTCCTAACTAATAATCACACATTTGAATTTTAAATGACCACGATTGGTGATTGATCATTTTAACAATTACTTAATACAATTTTTCTTTGTCGTTATCTCATTGATTTTCTTAACAAAAACCGAAATATCGGTTTAACAACGAGAGTGACGAATAACGGTTCATTTCGTTAACCTTCTTTGGAACTTGTTGGACGAATTTCCTCGTTTCTTGACCTCAACCATGATACTTGTTTCACTATATCGTTGGTAATTCGACGAGTTTGTCAACGAAAGTGAGGGGAAACAACGTTTTTTCTTCAACATTGTGAATTTATTTTTATATATAGAATCTTTTTAAGATAATTGTAATAATATATTTCACGGAAATGATTGAAATAGAAAAGAATATATAATATTATGAAAAAAGAAATGTTATTCTTACTCGAGTTAGAGAAAAGTAGTATGTAATTAAATTAACATTTCAAATACGTTTACATACATATATAATAACAGATGCTTTATATATCTATAGGTGTGTATTAAGAACAATTATATAATAAATACGAGATATATGTTAACGTAATTGTAAAAAGTAATATATTCAAATATTTAATTAGTACGAACAATGAGAAACTATCTTACTTTAGATCAGATAGTTAATAGAAATAAAATATATTTTTTATTTATTTGTCCTCGTATTCGAATAATACTGTTGTCCATTCTTAAATTACATATTAATATTTAAAATAAATAATACTGATCTAATATAACAATCAAATAAATAAGGGGTACCAAATAATATCCATAACTATTGATTCC